ATTGAAAGGAATGTTTGTACTTTATGGTAAGGGGAAACATTTGTGCTTGCTGCACATCACTTGATGCTTGACCTTGTGGTGTCACTTGATGGCGATGTTGAGCTATCCTTTTCCTACCCTTCTGTTGCCAGTGTTGCCATTTGCATGGAATAAAGGATTTATGTATGTAAGATCTGGTTTACTGACAACAGGTGTATAAAACTCTTAACAGATAGTGTCAAATTTAAGCATCTATGCACAAATGTTTATGTAAGAAAAAACTGAACATGAAACACTGCAGTAGAATGTCCTTGGACACAACATATCCATATTTGTATGTCCAAAAAAACAATCCATTCATGTAGATGCCCTCTTCTTCCATGAAAAAGTTTGAAAGAGCAGGAGATAGAGCTTTGCTTTAAGAAGGAAACTGGAAGGTTTTTGTCTTACAATATGCTGTATCTGTTTCCAAAGTAATAACGAGTTTGAATGTGAAATTAGTTCTGATTTAACTCATGATTACTTTGGCAGTCTTAATCTTTCACTTTCTAAGATGTCTTGTCTGATAACACCCTCGCTTTACACCCCCAGTATAAAGGCTCCTAATTCAAATTCTTTTTTTTTCTCTTGACTGGGATTAAAGCTACTATTTTGGGCGCCATTGCATTATTTTTTATTGTTGTCCACCTACATGGATGACCACAAAAGATAGTGTCTTGAGATTCTTCTGCTGTCTTCATGGATTCTTGCAGCCTCTCCAGGTTGTTCTGTTCTTGTTTTGTGGGTTAACAGGCATGCTTTTCATTTCTCAGCCTTTTGGCTTTTCTTTGTTTCATTACTGCGTTGTGAAAGGCTGCTCCTGGGGGGCAAAGGGGTGGTACTGGTGCATCTTAACAAAAACACAGTTAAATATTGTGCATATATGGAATTCTTTCTCATAGTGCCGGTATTGCTATACTTATGTTTGCCGTCTTAATGTCGATACATGTCCAGTAAACTTTTGGAAAAAGTTTATTTAGAACTGTAGAGTAAGTAAACAATATTAAAAAAAACAGACATTTGTTCTTATTATTTTTGTAGAAGCCGATCCATGTGCTTTATAGTGCTATATGTGTAGCCGCAACATCTTACAAAAACTGTATCTTAGTTACAGATATGTTTTGGCTACTTTTATCAGTCAATTACCTTGTTTCAGGTATGGTGAATGCAGTGGGGGTGTTTGAGGATTTAAACACTGAAGTCTGTCTTGGGCATGTACAGTACTTTAACTTATTTGATACACAGCTTAAGCTTACACTGCTGGTGCTGCTCTCACTTTGGGGAGCATGCAGCAATATTTTGTACTTAGCTGTGGCTTAGCAACAGCATAAAATGAAATCCGCAATTAGCATATAAATTAGTACCTAGTTTTTTAAGTCATGCTCAAGGTACAGAATAAAATAATCATAGCATTGTATCTGGAGAGGGGCATGAGGAAGAAAAAAGTTTCCTTCCAGGACATGCAGTGGAATCCTTTTTATTTCTGATAGTATTTTTAATTTAATATCTTGAGTACAGTATGTTGCAAATCCAGTCACCAGATGGAGCTGCTGGACTGATAAACACCTCATTAAACTAAAATGTAAACTGTAAAACAACATCTCATTTAAAATTCTTCTCAACATATTTGTAAGTACAGTATCTGTTTTGAGAACATGGTTTTGACTGTTATCTGCTTGGAAACTGCATAGATTTACGTTTAGGGGAAAATTCATTTTAAAGCTTACAAAACATTGCTCATACTTTTCACAGATTATGCATAAATGAGAAAAGTAAGTTTAAAACATTTAATGAATTTAATGCACAAACTGCTGAGGGGTGTATAAAATTAACTCACAACAGTTTATGCTTACATTGCTCATAGTAAGGTAGGGGAGTGTGCTGTGTTGCAGGCAACAGTAGTTCTGGGGCATTAAAATGAAAAGATTTGTAGTGCTTTTAAAGACGGAGAGAGAATGAAACCCGGTGGAAATTAATCTTTATCATGTTATTTCAAAAAGTATTTTCAAGTTCTATGAGCTGTGGTTCCTGATGCTATACTCTAGTTCCTTAGTTTTATTATTGTCTCACCAGAATTTGAGCATTGGGGATATGGTTATTTTAATTTTTCTTTAAAAAAGACTAATGAGACTTAGGCCTTTAATATAAGGTGCATTGGAAATTACATGCAAACAGAAAATTTAAGACAAGAATTATTAAAGATATCTGCTGACAAATAACTGATAATTTGATAGTCACTTCAGTGGTGCCAGACAGAGGCCAATGGCAAGAATTATATATGCTTTAGGGGCAATTTCTTTTCATCTGAGTAAATTTGGAGCCACCAGAGCACAGGGGTCTGAATACCTCTGGAAGCAGCCTATTTTGGTTTTTGAATTCTTTAAAGATATCTGCTGATAAATAATTTTGTCTTTAAAAAAATTCTGTGGGAACATTGCAATACAAATATTGAATTGTGAAATGTGAATTTTCAAATGTAGCTGGCTATAATATAAAGTAATTTGTGATTCTTATTTTGAAAATATTGTGCTTTATCCACTTTGCATATTATTAGATACTATATTGCTGTTGTTAACCACATACACTTAAAAACAATGGGTAGGTTTGTGGCAGATGTCACAATCTGGTTTGTACTATTGCAGGATTTACCATCTCGTTCTGTATGTTGATAGTGCTGTTTTTAACATAACACAAGAAAAGAGAAGTTTTATGCGAGATGAATTTGGTCTTGTGCAGGGTAGGTACAAAATTAGGAATACGTGCTATAGAATCTAGATGATGTATTCAATTCAGCTTTCTCTTGAAATGTATTTGGAAGTAGTCTGTTTCTTTTGAATTGTTTTTCTGCATGAGAGAATTTGCCTTAATTGTCTGGCCTGGCAGTAAATCTGGAATCACTGCTTTTGTACTGTGTACCTACAGTAAATGTATTACTTAAATCTCTATTATATATGCATTCAACAATACATGATTTAAACAACTATCTTGTATATTTAGAATATAAGTTTTATTAAAAATGTTAGTTTTTCCCACCATGCAATCAAATTATTTTTTGTGGGCTCTGAATATTCTTAAGACAAACACAAATTCCCGTGAATAAAATGGCCTTGCATTTTTTATTGAAAACTGCTGCATCTGTTAAGTTCAATTAAAAAGCTTGATCCTCTCCTAAATTATCATCTAATATTTTTTTCATTACAAAGAGCATCAAGTTGTATTTATTTTTACGAAAGATCAACACTTACTCACCAAGATTGTGTTCTAATTCAGATCCTATTCTTGTCAAAATAATTGATTTCACATACTGTACAGTTTCAGTTGGGAAGCCTTGCAGTTGTATGATCATTTGTTTCTGTAATTGGAATTGATCTCTGTCATTGCAAGCTAGCTCTAGACTAAGATAACTTCTAAACTTTAAGTAGCCTTAAATTGGCTTTGTCATTTTTGTGTTTTGCTGTGCAGTTGAAATGGGGTCTTCTACTTCAGTGAGTGTGTTACCAGCTATAACTGATACGTAAACCCTGTCATACAGACATGTTAGTTTGCTGAATCCCCATCACAACTTGAGCATTAAAATGATTGCATTAGTCACCCCCCTTCATCACAATGCTAAACTTGGCTTACTTTTAGCCACATGATGTTTATGTATTTTGAAGTGCTCTGCTATCCCCCTGTATGTAGGTCAATGAGATGAAATCTGGTAATGTAGGTTGTTTGGAGCAGGAGCCATGTAACCCCCTTAAACACAGTAATTGTTTACATTGACACATAGCAATGCAGAACATGTTATGTGTGACTTAAATGTAAAAAGAATGTACAGTAAGTGAACACTTGACAAGAGGTGGCATAATTATACTTAACATCTTGACAAAGTAAACACATTAGCATCGCATCCTAATAAATACTGAAATGATCTTCTATACTTTTACACATCTAATTATTAGCCCATTTTTATTTATTTTGAAAACATTAAACACATTTAAGTAAAACATTTATACATGATATGTGATGACTTTTTAAGAGATCTGCTGCTATTAAAAAGTAGCCAGAATTTGCGGACACGGGTGGGTTGAGTTTCACATTCAGTCTAAATAAGTGGCATTAGACATACGTCAAGGCTGAATATGGACAGAGGTACTTTTTCTAAGTAAGTGCATTATACCCTTTAAATTTTAATTCCCGTTAAACACACAAAAGTTTAAGAAATACACAAAGTGGCAATGTGTGTCTTAAAAAGTAACCTACATCATGTCATTACTGAGAGCTCGCTGAATGCCCGATGTGACTTCACTTCTGTCCAGTCCAGAGTCTTTAGTGACTCTCCAGTCTTCTACACAACTGTGATGCAGCTGATCACTATTCAGTTTAAATACACCATATTTTAAGATGACTCAATAAAAAACAACACATTGCACTTCACACATATATATTTTAATATTTCCCTTTCTTTTCTTTGCTGAAAACGTACTGAGCATAATCTACAGGAAGAATTAAGATTTTCTGCAGATTATTGGAGGCGCAGCTCAGGCCCCCATGTTTATTTTTAACACTGTTTTACTGTGCACCTTGGAATTCTTGTTCTATTTTAGAAAGGGAACAGAGGACAAACTTTTCCTCAAGGAAACTTTCAGCATAATTTTTAACTACTTGCAAAGTGCAGCTGGTTTGACATTCTCATTCTCTTGGAGTACACAGTGTCAGGAATTTATATATAGTTATTTTAAAAACTGTAGTGGTATTGACTTGGTTTATCCCAGTCTATAAAGGAATATGTGTCCTCATGGAGATTTTTTTTATTTTTATCTGATACCTCATCTTGAAGTGTCATTTGGGAGATACTGAATAATGTCATCCTATACATGTCCTAGTACATCTGATACATGGAGCATGATATACCTTTAGATATGTGGAGAGCATGGATATTTTTGCACTTAATTTTGTGTTTTTTTTTCTCACAACATTCTGCTTTTGTATTCCAACAGGATGACATCTACCTGTATGGAGGCAAAATTGAAACCAGTAATGGGAATGTCACTGATGAATTATGGGTCTTCAATATCCCAAACCAGATGTGGAGTAAAAAAATCCCCACTGTCCTGGTTCATGGCCAGCAGTATGGAGTGGAGGGACACTCTGCTCATGTTGTGGAGTTTGACAATGGAGACGTGATAATGGTCATCATTTTTGGATATTCATCTGTGTACAGCTATATCAGCAATGTACAGGAATACAACCTACGTAAGTGCAGTACAGAAACACGCTTGCTTCTATTTCTGCTATAAATTTTTGGTTTCTTGGTACAGTATGTTGCCATCCAATACGGTAAGACTATGTTGAACACTCAGATTAAATATTTGTACTGCCCATTATAAACGCTGGAAAACATGGTACAACCAGCAACACATCTGTCCTGCTCTGCAAAAGTCAACACTTGACATAGTGATGGCCCCTGAAAAATGTTATTTTAGGAAATAGATTTTGGAATGCAGTTATACTAATGTTTTCTCTTAAGTTCTGTTCATAGTGTATGATTAATTTAAGGTGTTTTACATCTTATCGCAGATTCACAAACAGCTTCTTCAAAGCACTACATCTGGCTTTGGGAGTCAGAGGTATTGAATGTGACAAAGCACAGATAAGAACGTGACAATAAACATGAGAAAAGTTACAAACTGTAAGCCCTTTGACCTTTCATGCTATTCCTGTACTGTTTGCTTCTAGTGTAAATCCTAGATTTCAAGGTTTATGTGTAAGGTTTCTTGGAAGGTCTGTAAAACTGTAGTCCAATACAATATGTTCAGTATGTTCAGTAATAGCCATCAGTTCCTGGATGTAATAACATTTGCAATATTGATCCAGGTAAACCACTTGTTTGTTAACACATGAATTGAAATTAACACCTGCAGATAGCACAGTTTTCAAAGACCTGGAAGCGTTCTTCCAGTTTTATCTCATTTCACAGCTCTTTGCGATACATATACCATTGAAAGTGTTGGTGCATGCTTGCTATTTTACAAGCTTTTCCTGAAAAGCCCATTAGATGGAGCTGTAATACAGCAGGAGAGTACGTTATTGCATTTTTCCAGGGCTGCAGTCTGCCACGAGGGGAATACTATTACTCAAACCCAGACACGGGGCCTTATGGGGTAAAGAGCACACAAAATCAAATCTGGATTAAAAATAGCAAAACAAACAATGTGTTGCACGTAAGATAGCTATGAATCCCTTGTAGGGCGGTATTATTTTTAACCTAATGAACAGCACAAATGCTGGAAACAACCCACGAGTTTTTGCTCTAGGCAGAATTTGTGTTCTGGTCTGAATCACACTGCTTTTTTAAAGATTAAAGGGAAAAAATATTAGAAACCATCATTTGAAGATTACGATGTCGTGCAGAGGGAATGCGTTTTGTATCACAGTTTGATCCTCTTCAGGTATTTAAAAGGTGTGGGACAGTTTACCATACAACCAGAAAAGCAAATTATGTACGTCTGCCTAAGCAGACTTTCCAAAACTAAGGTAACAGGTACTAAGTATAAATTTAAAAAGTTGCACTCTGTGTTGGATTATATACACTAGCCTGCGGCAAATAAACCTGAAATAGAATAAAGCTGGGATGGAAATAAGATTACTGTTGCACAGCATTAGTAGAGCCATGTTTCCATAGTTAAAGAATTATTTTAAGACCACATAAGGACTGCCAGCCCACTTCAGACTAAAGAAGGCTGCTGTTGTCCTAATTATTTCTAAGGCCTTCAGGAAATTATTATTCTGATGTTTTTATTCTTTAATAAGAAGCATATCATATTGTTCTTCTTCAATCTAACATCTTATGATACCCCCCTTTTTACAGGTTTGTTTGTGCAGTTGTTTTAGTTTATTTTGTGTTTTTTTTTCCAAAGTAGGTTGTTTGCTAGTCAGTACAGTTTGTCCATGAGGACTCCGTTGTACTTTGGTCTCTTCACATGCTTTTAGTCTGTGTGGTGACCTCTCTGGCTGTGCATCACACCCCATTGTTTAGCACTGATTACACAATGCTGGAGCAATAAAAATTATTGCAGCATCTGTGTTGTTGGGCCTGCTTCAGCAGATGACATATTAGTTATGATTATGCATCATTCTCATATAAATCCTTATCTGTATTATAAATGTACTCTATAAGCACTGTCTTTGCAGATGGCTGACAGTTTTAATTCTGATAACTGAAAGTGTTTTTTTTTTGCTCCATATCTGTCCATCTGTTGATTTGAAAAATGATGTGCTCCAGGTCCTGTTGTGTTGTATGCCCGTAAGATAAGAAATACAATGTTTTTTTTGCAGATTTCAGTTGTAGTAGTCTTGCCTTTAATGACAGGTCATTTACAAATGATCAAGGCCTGTATTTTCAGTAAGTCTGTAGGACATTGCACATGAGTGAATGCAGAGGGAGAGAGCACAGTGAAGTGGGTGACTTCATTTGAGAACGGTCCATTTGGCTCAGCGCTTTTTTTTAAAGCTGATGTAGAAGCGTAACACGTCTGGATGGACTTGGAGTTCGAAATCGAACCACAGGCGACACCAGAGTAGAGCTGGCAGTCCAAAACTTTCTGGTTAGCCAAGAACAACATTTAAGCATTACAGTTTGATGTAATGAAAAAGCAGTATCAGGATTAAAACAATTATTCCTAGCGAATCAGTTCTTACATATCCAGTATTATTAGAGTTTTGGCTTTTTTAGGTTGCTACTATACAGCTGGTTGCCCCAGTAGTCACACATGACTTTTTTGTGGTCATTTGCTGAAAGATTTCACCAGTAATTGCCAGATTGTAGAAATGCATAGTGATAAATGGAATTCCGACAGAGCCCTGGATTCTGCTGTAAACCAGGCTGAGTGCTCGAGTTCACCTTCTCCATTAATCATGCATGGCACAAGGATCTGTGAAGCAGAGTTTTTGGAAGTGAAAGTTTTCTCTTGGTAGAAACTGCAGTCATGTGCTGTTATGCCTTTAATAATAATAATAATAATAATAATAATAATAATAATAATAATAATAATAATAATAATAATAATAAGCAGCTATCGGTGGGGAGGAGAACAGAGTGATGAAGCCAAATCATAGGTGGGGGTTATGTGGCCATGATTGGTAAGGGCCAATGGGAAATTTGGCCAGGACACTGGGGTAACATCCCTACTCTTTTCGAGAAATGCCCTAGGATTTTTAATGTCCTCAGAGAGTCCAGACCTCGGTTTTATGTCACATCCGAAGGATGGTGCCATTTTACAGTATAGTGTCTCCACCCTTATACTGGGTATTAGGTCCCACACAGACACAAGGTGAGAACCCCATAATGGTCCCCCTAATACCTCTTCAAGCAGCAAACTTAGTTTTTCCCAGGAAGTCTCCCATATAGGCACTGCCCTGGCTCACACGTTCAGTGGGTTGTCAGTTGTGAACTGGCCAGCATATTACCCTGCAGACGTTTGTGCCAGAAGTGGAATTATAGGGAGCCCCTGGGTCACACAACCAAAGTTCCTGTTAGAGTACATTGGGCCTAATCCATTGCTGGTTTGAATCTGGGCTACATTATATCAATTGTGGACTATAGTCAAGTCCTATAAGAGGTAGTGGCATAAGTTTTACCAAGCTATTCCCTGTCTGCAGCTGGGTATCTTTGTGCCAAAGGTCGGAACTACTTCTGTCTTCTGTCTCATCCCCTAGCATTTACAGTTGTTCTGTGGAGTTTGCAGGTGACATAGATGTATTGAGAGTGATTGTTTTAGAGGATGTGTGTGTTGTTTTCATTCTTCTAAAGTAAATGGGAACATTAACAAAAATAATGGTCCAAATTGTGTACTGAAAAAGTGCAAGTGAACTGTCGGGAAAATAATGGATTACTTTTGGAGATACAGTTGTGAGGCTTAGTTTTTAATTATCCCAAATTCAGGTAAAGGCCTTGGCCATTTCTACTCTTAATGTGAGTGTATTGCTTTTCATTTAGGGCTTTAACATTAAGAACATTGTTAGCATCCTCAAGAGTTTTGACAACCCATTTAACTATTGTTACAGGACTTCTAAAGATAAGATTTATGGTTTGCTTTATAAATACTTGTTGTGTCTTACCTAATCTTAATACTTCTTTTTCCTCAGGAACAAATACATGGCTTGTGCCAGAGACTAAGGGAGCTATTGCCCAGGGAGGCTATGGACACAGCAGTGTTTATGATAGTGCGACAAAGTCTGTTTATGTGCACGGAGGGTATAAAGCTCTTCCAGCTAATAAGTACGGTTTGGTGGATGATCTCTACCGCTATGAAGTGCGTACACGAACCTGGTAAGTGAGTGTGCAGAACTCTACATTTTGCTAAGATGTTCATAGTTGTCTTGTGCTGTTTAATTGCTTTAATGACTGTAATGTCCCTCCATATCATATCATTTTTTATTGCACTCTGCTTAGTAATGCACAGTGCAACTTATTTTTAGTTGTGAATTATGTTCCTTTATGTGTCATACAGTTGGTTTATTGTACATCTCTTGGGCTAAAGTATTTGCAGAATTACAAAAAAAAATGGTTGATATGCACAAAGGGATGAGCAAATGTCTGATCAGGGGTAATATTTGCTTTGCCATGTTTCTGTAGCTGTTGTCAGCTGTTACAAAAATGTTTTAGATCAGTACAAACAAAAATGAAATCATCCTTCCTCAACCTCATCCTGAAATTAGCCTGCTTCCTTTTCTCTTGTCTGATCTTGACATGACATCTATATGTACTACTGAACCATAACATGTTAATACAGTTCAGGATGTGAAAGTGAACATTTCAGATCAAACTTCCCTTGTTCTTTGGAGATCCTGATTTTTTTATAGGGAAACAAATTACATTACCAGTTCTATGAGTTTTATTATCTCTATGTTGAGACAAATTCCTGTAAGAGTGAGAAAATGGAAACTTAAAACGGCATCACTTAAACAAATGAGTGATCCTTCTGGAATTTTTGTATGCATTTCCCATTTGAATACAAATCAAAATAATCAAATCAAAGTTTATTTATCACATGCACAACAATACGGCGTGCAGCAGTAGCTGCTGGCAATGAAATGTCTTTTTCTGCGAGCTCACAAAAATCACAAGAATTCACAAAAATCGCAAAATTGTGGTTACATTTTTGAGATTGAATAAAACTCAATTTGAGTAGGGCTGTTATGTGTCCATGGTGTATGCAATATATACATGTAGTGCAGTTATGCTGAATATAGTGAGAATTGTGTGTCCATGTAGCCATTACAGGTGATTTGCTGAAGGAGCTGCGGGTTGGCTATTTAGCAGTCTTATTGCCTGGAGGTAGAAGCTGTTCTTAGTCTGTTGGACTTGGACCGAATGCTTTGGTACCGTTTACCGGACGGTAGGAGGGAAAACAGTTTGTGACTGGGATGACTGGGGTCCTTGAGAATGGATCTGGCCTTCTTCGGACATCTAGCTGAGTAGATCTTCTGGATGCTTGTTAGTTCACAGCTGGTGATAAGCTGCGCTGACCTCACCACCCTCTGCAATACTTTGCGATCCCATGCGGAGCAGCTCCCAACCCAATACATAATCACACTCCTCTCATGATGTAGCATTTACAACAGTTCTTTCAGAAGTTTTGCATCTGTACAGACTTTCCTGAAAAAGGTCCACGATACTATCTTTTTAAATGGTCTTTTGTTGCCTAAATTGTTTGTTGTAATAGCACTTCCTAGCCTAAACACACACTTCAGTAAATCTTTTGAGAATAATGTGTAATTTAAAAAGAGACATGCCCAAGACATTTTTGGACAGTGTATGAAAAGAACACCTTTTAGTAATGCTTTGCTTCAAAAGCTTGTAATTTAAACATAGCTTGTCAGAACTTTTAAAATCAGCCTTTCTTGAAGATTACAATATACCATTGTGCTTCAGGGATCACAGCAGTATTTGTTTACTGTCCCCTGTTCACAATGCCGGAGAGAGAGACTTGCAGTGAAGCCTACTGGCTAGGTGATTCTCTCTTGTTGAAAGGAAATGTGGGAGACAGTGACACTAAATATTTAAATTTTCATTAACATTCATTGATTGTCACACTTCATGGCTTTTCATAGATCACACATGCTGGTATAAGATTGTTCATGTTTGCTTAAAAAAGCTCATAGTACTATTACCTATTTCTAATCAAACTCATTATGATGGTACTGTATTATCGTTTACATATGTACGAATACCTATACATTTACAAATACATGCATACACAGTATAATTTTCAGTCATGTAGTTAGTTAAATAGTATCATGTATAATAACCTTTTATGGCCAGTTATGACCTAATATAGGGAATAGGAAAAGTCTATGAACTCTGAATCTGTGTTTCTGGCCTGGTGGGAGTTACACATTTACACACCACTAATGTTAAAATACAGTACATTGTTCACAACCGAAGTTGGGGTTGGCAGAGTTTGTCTTCAAAGAAGCCAAATGTGAATTGTGTGCCACAATAGAAAAGGAATCTCAGCCATATTAATCTGCAAAGTTTTTTTTTACGTCACATTTTTTCAGATCTTGGGTCATGTGTTTGCAGCTGAATCATCAACCTATGAAAGTATAGGTAATTGACTTGGAAATGAAAACATTAATGTACAGTCACTTAATAAGTTGTCAGGCCATCAGTGTGCGGCTAGAATGGCCTGCAGTATATGTTCCATTGAAAGTAGTCTCCAGGAGGGATGCAGCACTTTTCTTCCATGAGAAACTTAAAATCATGACCTTCTTAGTCACCAGCACTGAACCCAATCAAGAAACTATGGAATATTCTGCAATTATACTTTTGAAAGTGATTTGCAACTCTGTAACCCAGGCATTAGGATAACATCAGCGTTGTGCTCATCTAACTATTGTGCTGCCTCACAAATGCTGCATCATAGGCGTGCACCTGAAGAAGGCTCCACAGCGTTGTCTCTTTTCCTTACCTTTCAGCATGGTAAAATCATAACAAGTACCTTTTCTTTAAAAAAAAGAAAATGCACTTCACATCACTAAACCTAAACTAGCACAGTAATCCTCAGTGCCAAGAAAATGTGCCTAATACCACTAAACGACCAGAATCCTTCACTTTTGGAATCAAGAACTTTGGCTTTAGTGTGTCTTTAGAATGAGGGCTTCAGGTTGGTGCCACACGTATGCTAGTCTGTCAGTAACATGGTGAAAGATGATTCATCTGACCGTATCTTGTTTCTCCACTGTTCAGTAGTCCTTTGCCCTATGCACCTCTGGGTCTGCTAATATGGATTGACAGGTGTAATGAGTGGTTTGTGTTTGTGACAAAATGGCCTGCTCACACCCAAGTTTGACGTTTGCAGTCAACTGATCTGCTCTCTCGTTTTGCCTTTCACTCGGACATCAAGTTGCACATCAACTTAAACACTGTAGCTCGTGAAACATCAGCAAGTTAAGCTTTCGTGGTCGCTAAAATCCATTGTTTGCATTTTGGTTCCCCAGTTTCTCCATGTTTTTTGTATCCAATCGTCCACTCCTTGCATCTCAATTGGCATCCTGAGGGAACTGATGCGACTTCTAAGTCACTCTGTTTGTAAGATTATTGTAGAACTGTTTTAACTTATTTCAGTGAAAGGAATAATTCAGTAATATATTTGTAACTTTTGTACACAAAACTAAAAATTCAGACCATCAAGCATTAAAACATTACTGCTATATTACTCTATATATCTAATTTTAGAAAAGGGTGAGTGTTGGGTCTTGGTTTCTTTTTTGCACAATTTATGCAGGAGAATTACTTTTCCTTTCCATTTTGTTGTTTTTTTCCCTTTCTTATGTGTTTATTCAATTGCAGTGCTGTGGTTGTAAAGGTAGTCTGTTTACACTACTGGCTTGCATCTTAGTCAGCCTCCACATTTTAGTTAATAGTTTAAGTATTCATGTTTCATAACTATGGAAACCGACTCCACATCATTACCTTTTTTCCTGTATTTGTGTTAAGTTAAATTCACATACAATTTAAGAATCAAACTTGGTTTTAGAGGAGGAAGCGTGTGTTTTAAAAGCCTAACTGATGCAAATTAGTAGAAATATCTACCTCATAATGCAATTACCTATGATAAATTGTACATCTTATCTTAAAATTTACAGCTCCATGCCACCTCAAAATGTCTTGTGCCTTTGTTATAAATAAGTCTTCTGTATGACTGTCTATGTAAGACCAAATAAGGAAGTGTTTAAGACGGCTCCATTTTGTTCTTGTTTTGTTATAATTCTGTATTCTTAGGGTTTCTCATTTTAAAATCGCAGGGCCTTTGGTATTGTATTATTGGCTAAATAACTAAATGTTCTGTTTCCACGTGCTCTCTTCTCCTTTAGAGTGCCAGCATTCAAGTTCTCCTCTAAGCATTTGTCCAAAGACCTGCAGAGATGGGCTTCTCAGACCAGCTGCTTCTTTCATGTTACTGATGCATCCTGACCTTACTGACTCCCACCCCTGCTCACTTGTAACTGATACAGAAATAACTTAGCTAGAATTTCACCCTTAAAACCATCTGCTTGCCCTGCTGTTTGAGCTTTGTGATACCGACCGCATTTTGTGCGGTCTTTTACAGTGTGACGATAACCGAAGTGAAAGTGCGACTTCAGCGAAGCATTATTTAGAATGTTGTAAAAAAGAAACTACTCTTCAAAAGGAAGAACTGCTGATTAAATGAATTCATGCAAATGGTGCAATCAGATGTAAAGCATTGAATTATTCAGTTCCTTTCAACATGTTTTCTAACATGTTTTCTAAGTGCTAACACTTCCTTAAAGTGATTTTCAACTTGTAAAGCTATTCTCTAAATCTGACCATTAAATATCTTACAATTAACTGCTAGCAGATTGGCCTTGCCATGGCAGCATAGCTTCTGTACAAGGCTGATGTTTCTGACATCAAATCAGAGTTACAGTTCTGCATGTTTCATCACTGTTGTATGAACTTATTTGTGAACGACCTGGAAACCTTTTATTTACATTTGAATTGGAGCTATGCTGTAGTATAAGCACATTTACATATCTTCCACCAGATTATTTCTCATTGTTATAATACCTTTCCTGCAGTTACCTGAAGTTTAAAGTTTGGAGATGCTTTTCATGTTTCTATTTTTTTTTCTTGTGCTTGAGGTAAAGTCTTCTGAGAATATAAAGTTAGATCAATGTGCAAGAGCTCAGTCAATCTATGCCTCTTTCTGCAGTCTGGAAAGTTGAGGTTCAAAATGAAAAAAGCAGAGCCATGACTGATAGAGCATCAAGAGGTTTCTTGCTTTTGTTCATAGGTTTGCCTTTGCTAGAGCTGGAATAAATGCCTCAGTATCCCCAAAAGGGACTGATGGCTGTCTTTGCTTCTAACTTTCTAGGCTCTACTTTTAACATTTACTTTATTGGCTATTTCTGAACGGCAAACAAGGAAAGGCCTCTTTGGAAACAGTGTATCCCTTAACTTTGTTGAAAGGAAGGGTCTTCATTTTTATTTAGTCTTTTGCTGCATGAATGTCTTTGTATTTTCCTACAGGACAATCTTAAAGGAAAGTGGCTTTGCACGGTATCTCCACTCGGCTGTCATCATAAGTGGGGCTATGCTGGTCTTTGGGGGAAACACACACAACGATACATCTCTGAGCAACGGAGCAAAATGTTTTTCTGCCGATTTCCTTGCTTATGACATAGGTATGTATTCTCACTCCCTGAAGAGCTGGATTTGTCTGCTCAATTTGTTTCCTGCAGTGATGGGCAAACTAAAGCAAAGCCACAGAAATTATACATGCTTATTGTAACTTGAAAGATTTTCAACTCGGCTTCTTTTGAGGAAGTTCGATGTAGATTTTGGAAAATGATTTTACGCACGTTTTAAGATATTACTATATGACCTTGACATGATTTTAAATCAAAGTATTTTGATTTCTAAAGTATTGACTCTTAGAAATATATTTATTGCTATTTCAGTAGGAGTTACTTGTCTGGTGAATCTCTTGATATTAAATTGTGTAAACCTTTAGATAACCTAAAATAATGTAAGAGAAAGGAACCAATTTGTTTTTAACACTCACACTGGCACCTTAGGCTTTCTTCAGACTGTGGCACTGCCACATAATCTTTTTTTCATTTTACAAGTGAACTTTGTATCGTCTCAGGCATTTCTGAGCTATAGCCTCAGAAACAGGTGATGATGACACCAACAAATGAGGATGTGACCTTCTTGTTGACCCAGCAACCTCAAAATAACCCCCTCTTGGCAAAGATTTATACCAAGTCTGTTTTCAGTCTCGGAAACCTCCTGGAGTGACAACTATCCCTGTTTACACTGCCCATAATTGTTTTAAACACATAAGTCTGTGAAAACAGCCATTGCTTGCAAGTGCAGTACACACAATTCATTAATTGCCTCATGTAACACAGTCCTGCTATCTGGATCAGTGAATCTAAGCCTATGCTTGAAATTGTGGTGTACTGCAAAACTAGAAGAAGGATTTTTTTGGAAAAATATTTTAATTTGTTTAGTAGCATTATCATAAAAACCTTTTTGGGATTTACATGGCTGGCATAAAATAGCTCTTCATAGCAGTATTTTTAAGCATTTAAGAAATGCTAGGTACCTAAAACTGAAGGGTACAAATCCAAACTTGATTAGCTTACTGTATGTGCTTCTGAGTTTCTAAGCAGCAGATGAAGTGAGTGTTTTATTGAACAGTTTTAAATGTTTTAAAAATACCAAACCATTGTTCCACACTATGGATCAATAAACAGCTAACTGGTTAATTAACTAACTAAGCTAACTGGTTAAAAAGGTTGCAGTGGTAATATTACAGACTTATAATTTTTCTGCCGTGGATTTTTTTAGGTTTAACACCCTAGGTTACAGGTATGTAATGGTGACAGGGCCACCATTACATACATACATGAAAAGGTCTTAAAGTGGTGTATACGTTTTTTCATAACTAAGCAATGTTATTTCATTCATGATTAAGTTTAGTTGGATTTTGCAAAGCTGATCTTTGGGATGTTGTTGAACATTAATGGCAAAAACTGTCAATAACAAACATGAGCCCTTCAAGTTCAGGTTTGTCATTATTCTCATACACAGGTATATGGTATAACAAAATGCTATTTGGCTAGCTCTCAGACCATAAGTATTACAAAAAAACAACAATACAATTGTATAAGAAAGAAAGACAGAGACAACGCAATGTGCAAAACAACAACAGATAATGTGCAAAACAGCAACAAGTAACAGGTAATGTGCAAAACAACATCAGTTGTGCAAAATCATACATCAACAGAATGCAATAAAGGATAGAAAATTATGGGGAGTGAACCTGTGACATGTGTGGTAGAGGTAGATTTCAGTGTGTGTTTGAGTTTTGATAAGAGAGAAGGCACTGCAAGGGTTCATTCAGATCATGGATGAGAGAGGCTAGGAGTTTAATAATCTGATAGTGCGGGAGTAACAAATGTCTCTGAGTCTGGTAGCCTGGGCCCGGATGCTCCAGTACTGTTTTCCAGATGGTAAAGGGTCAAACAGTCTGTAGCTGGGGTGTGTGGGGTCTTTGATGATGCTAAGAGCTTTCCTCTGCACCATCTGTAATTCTGAGTAAAAACACAGAAATGTAAGCTTGCTGTAATGTTTTATGCCACCTTTCACTGTAGATCTGGGGTTTGTGCTTTAAGTAGCCTATTAATTTGCTGCAATCTGCATGCTTTTTAAAAAAAAAAAACTTTCTTGATTTTCTGGGTTTCTAGAGAAAGAGGCACTCTCACAAATTCAGAGGTTAATTACTATGAACATATTGTTGACTGGTCTGTCTGCCCTGTGACGGACTGGCATCCTGTCTAGGGTGTATCCTGCCATGCACCCGTTGCTTCCCAGGAAAGGCTCCAGCTCCCCCACAACCCTGAATTGAAGACGCAGTTAGAAATTGATATTATTGGCTGTTAAAAAAAAAGTTTTTTTTTTAGTATTGACCTCTTTATCCTGAAGAATGGATTCAGATTTTCCAAGCCTTTTTTTAGTATTTCACAAATAATGACAGTTTAAAAATATTTAAATTTAAAACTGGAAATGCTAATTATATTTGTTTCAACTCCCTCCAGCTGCAGTGGAATTTCTAACAGGTGATCAACTCAGTTCATAAATGTGATCTTTGAGTTCTTCATACAAGAGTGATGAGAGCTGTTCACACTTTCATCTGGAAATGTACATTTTTCAGTGCCCTGCAGTTTGAGGTCACCCAGTGCTAGCTTGAGAATTAAGTACACTCGAAGCTGAGAGGAGTGCATGTTCTATGACATACTGAGGATACCCTGACCAACTAAAACCCATCCAACAAATGCTCATCCCCAAAGCTTGGTGACTGTCTTTACTAACTGAGCCGCTCAGGAGACCTCAGCTGTTATTTTCCCTTTTAAGGTTTGCTGGGCTTGCCTAAGACGGCATGTATTGTGTTCCAGTGACTGGTACTACAGATGCAGCCATGTAGAAAATGCGTCACAATTTAGATCAATATATTTAAACTAATATTGCAATTTGCCATTGACGTACAGTATGCACTACTGAAAACATTTTTATATTTTAAGGATGATTAATAGCAAGCACTTATGGTCAATAAACTTTTTTTTAATACTGTACTGATTCGTCTGACAACCACACACAGCTGTGGTACTTTAAGGAGTCACTGCACCACCTGACAGTTTAACAGTATTTCAATCTTGCATATGATTATTCAAAAATATAAAAAAACATAATGTGCTGTTGTCTGGGATACTGTCTGTGCTTATAGCTGTATACCAAATGATACCTTGTACATTCAGGAAGGTCGCATCTGTAGATAGGGTCAGTATCAGCAAATGGGCATTGAATTACTTATTCTTCAGTCAGAATGTTTCAGTCTCTTTGGTATTTAGTTGTAATGTCTGTTAATGATTAAGGTGTAATATTGTTAAATGTATGCTGTGCATGATAACATGATTGCAACAGAAGAGGAAATCTCAATACACATGTATACAGTATGTGGATACATTGTACAACATAAATTCAGAGAAATTAAACTGCAGTGGTCCTTACAAAATGAATGATCCCTTATGGAATTTAAATGAATGTTATACATAGTCTTTGAAAGAAGCATGAAGTTTATATTGTGCAGCAGGTGGTCTTTTCTATTGGAAAACAAGTTAAACCTTAAAAATCCTTCTAAACCTTAAATTAAATTATTTTTTAGAACATTCTTAAGAACACCTTAAGATTTTATATATTTATACATGTTTGACCTTCACCTAATCCTTACCAATTCAAAATAGTAGATAAAACTAACCGTATCTGGCCAGTATCAAACAAAAACTATCATTATTTAAACAATCATCCAGCATTCAATATTTGGTTTGAAAAAGTATTCTCACCACTTGACTCAGTAACGTGTGGCACACCCCTTTACCAGTAATAGCTTGAATTAAAGGTTTCCAGTAATTGATCGGTAATTTAAGGGTTTGTATGCACAGCTCTCTTTAGGTCCCGCCATAGCATCTCTGTGGGGTTTAGGTCTGGACTTTGGTTTCACATTTTTCCGCTGGAAATTCTGGTATATTGTAAGTGTGGAATTCCTGGCAGATTTGATAGCAAGGCTTCTAGGTCCTGACTGAGGCAGCAAAGCAGACCTCAACTATCACCCCCCAGCCATACCTGATGGTTGATTTAAGGTTCTTCCAGTCAAAGGCAAGGTTTTGTTTTTTTTCAAACCAAATGAAGTTTTGTGTTTTGGCCAAACAACTCACCTTTGACTCTTCTGTCTGGGGCATATTATTCCAGGTGCGTTGTTATTCATATGCTGTTTTGCACATAAGCTGCAGGCCTGCTAATAAGCTTGCAACTTGATGAGCAACTTTTTATTTCATGGTAGGGTTTGCAACGCCGACGAATCTTTCACTCTTAATACGCATACTGTATGATAATATTACCATACTCTTATAGTTAGGTCTGCATGGTCCACTAACAGCACGTTCAGTGTGTTTTGTTCTAAACAAGTTAAGAGAGTAGAGCTGAGTTAAACAAAAAGAGTTCAAAGAAGAATCAACTTCAGTTTAATGGAACTGAATCTCATGAGCAGGACAAATAGTATGTAGTTTGATTCAAGCTTTTATACTCCTTAGATATAGTAAGAAAGAGAAGATTGCTTTCATTAAAATGTTACAGGCTTAATATGAAAGGAAGCCTTTTAAATTAACAATGAAACACTGAGATGGGATCACAAGAGGAAATTGAGGGTGAGCAAGATTAAAAACAGAGGGAACTTCTCTGCCCTCTGCGTTGCAGGGATTGGGACAAACAGACCATCTAAATTATCGAAGCTGACATTCTGGGTGCCTTTAAGAGAAATCTGGAGGAAATGTTTGATTTATTAACTATTAGCAATGAGACAGTCAAGATGGGTTGAATGGCCTCCTGTTGTTTTTGCCCTGTTGTATTTTCCTGTCACAGATAAAAATCTAAGTGTGATGTCTTTAATGTTAAAGGAATATGCAGATTGTTTTATTAATGGATTTTGTCACAATGATTTTTTCCAACAGCTTTATCATTATTTTATTTGGTTTTTGAAGACAATTCTAACTAGTTTTATTTTCAGTTCCAACATAGTTCTATTTTTCAATGCATTTTAAAAGTTTTATTCTGTGTTGTTTAT